TTTAAAGGAATGTTTGGCTGAAATAAGGTTTTTCTAAAATTCTGTCCCAGGACACAAGTGCTGCTCACAGAGAAGCCCCATGGCCAAATGGGCCTGGCATATCCTGGCTCTGACCAGCTGCCTGGGCTCCTTCACCCTGGGCCAAATGGGCCTGGCGCATCCTGGCTCTGACCAGCTGCCTGGGTTCCTTCACCCTGGGCAGGACCAGGTGGAGGGTTCCTGGCCTCCTGCCATGAGTCTCTCCCCTTGGGACAGTGTGGGCAGGGTTCCCTGCTGCCCCCGCCTAGCCTCCTGTCACCCATTCCAGGTTCAAGGTGTTTGCAGACTATGACGCCTACGTGCGGTGCCAGGCACAGGTGGACCAGCTGTACCGGGTGAGGCTCCTGGGCCCAGGGGCTGGAGGAGCAGCTGGGTGGGTCTGTGTGGACATGTCGGGTTGGATTATTTCCCAAGCTAAGCAGGTCGGAGGGGTTTGTTTTGGATTTGTCATCAGTCAGCTATGCCTGCCTTTAGGGAAGCTCCCATCACTCCCTCCCTTGAAAAAACAGCTTCTAATGGCCAAGAAAGGAACGTGGGGCCTGGAAACTGAGTGACAGGCAGGCCTCTGGGAGGGACCTTCTCTTCCGTCAATTAGGGCTGACCTGGAGGAGAGCCTGGCCTGGTGTGGCCTGTGACCTGTGGCAGCCGTGAGCTCCCTGGTGGAAGGAGAGTGCCTGTCCGTGTCCTGTGGCACTGGACCTTCCTGAGCAGTTCTTAGCTGGTGCTATCCCTGTCTTGGGGGCCATGTGTGCCTTAAGCAACCGGGACCTTCTCTCCAGTTCCTTGCTTCTTGTATCTAGTTATGTGGTAGCTTTCCTGGTTAGTGGGGCCCCCTTTTCAACAGTTGATTGTAATGTCCCTTCCAGCAGGTGGCCCCAGGGCTTGGAGCTCATCTGGAAAGTCCTCAAGCTCTGCAATCTCCTGCTCTTAGCAGCCTTTAGCCCTGTGGCACCAGAGACTAACTAGCATCTCCTTCCTCGCAGAACCCCAAGGAGTGGACCAAGAAGGTCATCAGGAACATTGCCTGCTCGGGCAAGTTCTCCAGTGACCGGACCATCACAGAGTATGCGCGGGAGATCTGGGGCGTGGAGCCCTCCGACCTGCAGATCCCACCCCCCAACATCCCCCGGGACTAGGCACCCCGCCTCAGCGGGACCAGCGGGCTTTTGTTTCCTTGCTGACTTTCCACCTCCTTTTTTTCCCCAAGCACTTTGCCAGCTGCTCGTGGTCCTTGCTTTTCTCAGTACCATGTTTCCAGGAAGGACCGTGGCGGTCAAGGCGGTTTTGGGAGAGTACGGCAAGGAAGGGAGGTGCTGGGAGTGACAATTCTCCTAGTTTCTTGTAAAGGAAGCCAGAGTTGGCAGTACAAAGGGTCGTGGCCAGCACCACAGCCTCCGCCCACCTGCCCCACCCAGAGTGGGAGGCAGGTGGAGCCACCTGCTGGGCGCCTCCAAAAGTTTGCACACATCTTGCTATAAGCTGATGTCCTTCGCTTGGAACCTCTGTATTCTGGGGTCTGGGCCAGTGGCCATAGTGAAGCCTGGGAACATGTGTTACTGCAGCATCTGGGCCACCAGCCACAGGGAAAGGCCAAGGCCCCACGTGGGCCCCGTCACCCTACCCAGCCCTGCCTCCTGGCCATGCTGGGAGGGGTCGGATCCTCAAGGCATCACCTTCACAGCCCTCTGCCCCTGCCCTGGCTCTGCATCTCGTATGTGGGTCATGGACACAGTTGGGGCTTTCCTTTTGTAGCCGTCCCGGGCGTTGTGTGGGTGCTTGGGACCTGGGATGACTGGAGAGAACACAAGTGGGTACCTGTGTCTGGTGTCTCAGAGGCCTTGGTCAGGATGGAGCTGATGCAGCCCTGTTTTGCTTATTCTAAAGAAATAACTACACATGGAAATGAAACTAGCTGAAGCCTTTTCTTGTTTTAGCAACTAAAAATTGCGCATGGTTACTTCTGTGCTTGAGGAGGCCCTGCTGTGGGCGTTTCTGCCTGGCGGGGAAGAGGTGTGTGCCCTCCCTCCGACTCCCGCTGTGTCCTGAGGTGCATTTCCTGTTGTACACATAGGGGCCTGGCTCCATTCTCCCTCCCTTTCCACCTGTGCCACACCCTCATCTGGAAAAAGGACCAAGTGGTCCCAGAGGAACCCTGCTTGGACAGCAGGCCTGGCACTGGGAAGTGGGGCTGAGCCCCTCATAGCCTTGTCCCTCCTCAAGGCTGGTGACCTGCCTCCCACTGCCCAAGAGAGAGGGCAGGGAACAGGCCACTGTCCTTCCCTGTGGAACTGCTGAAATCTGGCACCTTGCATGCTGGACCTGGGCTTGCAGGAGGCTCTTTCTCACCCCGGCCTCCAGTGCCCACCAGGAGGATCTGCACACGATGCACGGCCCACCAGAGCACTTCAGCCTTTTATTGAGTGGGGCAAGTGCTGGGCCATAGTTGTGGCCTGACAGCATCTGCCGCAGACGGCATCTCTGCAGGGAGGCCATACTCCCTCAGCTGGCCACTGGGGCCACCACCCTGACCACCACTGTGCTACTCATTGTTACTGCCTTGTGTGAGAAACTGATTAAACCTTCGTGGCTGTGGTTGGCTGACGTGGGGACTGTGTTTTACTAACTACAGGTGGTGCTGTGAGGCTGTGGGAAACGAGAGAACACAGGCCTGAGGCCCAGGGTGGTGCCAATGCAAGGATGAGACCTGCAAGTGAGCCGCAGGTCCCCTGCTGAAGGACACCCCATCATTCTGGGACTGAAGGCAGACAAGCTCGAATTTCCACGGCTGCGGGACCTGGGGCCACCTGCGCCATAACAGCTGGCTGTTGAGTTTTTTGTCCCCCCAGGCTGGAGTGCAGTGGTGTGGTGTCAGCTCACTGCAACCTCCGCCTCTCAGGTTCAAGTAACTTTCCTGCCTCAGCCTCCCGAGTGGCTGGGATTACAGGCTCCCACCACCTCACCCAACGAATTTTTGTATTTTTAGTTTCGCCATGTTGGCCAATCTGGTCTCAAACTCCTGACCTCAAGTGACCCGCCCACCTCAGCCTCACAAAGTGCTGGGGTTACAGGTGTGAACCATTGCACCTGGCCAAGCCAGCTAGCTTCCCCCCCACCCCTGATTACAGAGTCTTGCTCTGTTGCCCAGGCTGGAGTGCAGTGGCAAATCTCAGTTCACTGCAACCTCTGCCTTCTGGGCTCAACTGATTCTCCTGTCTCAGCCTCCTGAGTGGCTGGGATTACAGGCGACTGCCACCATGCCCAGCTAATTTTTTGTATTTTTAGTAGAGATCGGGTTTCACCATGTTAGCCAGTCTGGTCTCGAACTTCATGACCTCAGGATCCCCCTGCCTCGGCCTCCTAAAGTGCTGGGGTTACAGGCATGAGCAGCTGCGCCCAAGCTAGCTATTTTCTAAAAATCCTATCAAATCCAGCCGTTACTAAACATGCTATCGGGATAAGAAACACTGGCCTTTCTGGTGTGACTTATACTGGTCCCTTTTTGCACCTGTGGCTTTTGTCTCCCACATCCCCCCTCAGTTGCATAGCTGCTGATTAAGAAATTGAGAGAAATGAGCCCAGGGCTCAGTGTTGCCCTGAAGATCCAAGAACTGGGATGCCAGAGCGCCTCGGGCTCCTTGGCCTCAGACCGGGTCATGCAGGGGCTGCTGCTGCCAGGTTGTCCTCATCCTCACACCCACCATGCACCTGGGTGGGGGGCACCAAGATGGTGCTCTGGGAGTCCCTGCCTCCCCAGGTCTGTGGGGTTCTGCCCCAGGGATGAGTCGCTTGGAGCAAAGTACTGAGCTCAGCAGCCCTGGGTAGGGCACTTGGATGTAACAAGCTGACAGGTGATGGTGGAGCAGCTGCCACACAGTGCACCCTTCTCAGTCTTATCTGCATCTGTTAGTGTTTTGCTAAAAAAAAAGTAGCTTGGCTGAACAGAATAGCTTATGCCTGTAATCCCAGCACTCTGGGAGGCGAGGCAGAAGGATTGCTCAAGAGTCCAAGACCAGCTGGGGCAATGTGGTAAAACCCCATCTTTACAAAACATACAAGAATTAGCTGGGTGTGGTGGCACATGCCTGTAGTCCCAGCTATTTGGGAGGGAGGCAAAGGTGGGAAAACTGCAGTGAGCTATGATTACGCCACTGCACTCCAGCCTGGGCAACAGCAAGACTGTCTCAAAAACAAACCCACCAGTAGCTTGTATGTTTACTTTATATCTTGCCTCAGTTCCCCCAACAAAAGATCCAAAGTAGCTTACAGAGACCAAAAAACCAGGAAAAGATGAAGGCCCGTCCAGATAGAGCAGGTTGCCTCTACTTCGTGGTCAGGAGCTGCGGTGTGTGTCAAGGCTAGGAGAGCAGCCTTGGGCTCTGTGCTCGAGTCCACGTGCGTCCTCAAGAAGGGGCTGCCTAGTGCAGCGGCTCTTACAGCCTCACAGAAAAATGCTCTGTGGTGCCACTTGGGTCCCATGGCTCAGCTGTGCAAGGAGATCACAACTTGGGGGCATGTGTCTGGGGCCATGAGTGGGCAGAACAACTGACACACCCGTTAGGGACCGGGGGCAGACCCTGGCCAGGAGGGCCAGTGTTCTCATGAGCTGACCTCAGGAGCATCTACTCAGCTGCTCCCCTGCATGTTCTCTAGATCTGACCCCAGCAAAAAGGGGCCTCTGGGCTCTCTGTGCTAGCCCACAGCTGCTGATGCTGGGCCTGCAACTTGGAGAAAGGGGTGGGCAGCTGAATCAAACTTCCTACCTGGCAAGTTTCTGAGCTGCTGGGACTGAAAAATTTCATAGCCTGAAGCTGGGTCATGGAGTGGGTCTGAAGTGGCTGGAGGCTCTGGGCTGTGAGCCTGGCTGGGGCTGTGGGTGCCTCTGGGTAGGGCTGAGAGTGTACGGGGCACCTGGCATGGCAGGAGGTAACATTAACCCTTCTTGTGCCGCAGAGAGGCAAAAGGACCACCACCACGATTTTATTCTTAAATAAAGCTCAGTCTAAGGCCAGGTTAGGCATACAGGTGGGTAAAAAGGGAGGAGGTGCAGATCCCAGGCACCTCCACTGTGGGTGAGTGGACCAGCCCAGGGGAGGCAGGGCGGCTGAGGGAGGCAAGCAGGTACACAGGGTAGGTGAGGACAATGGAACCACTGGAGTCATTCTGTGTGCTGGGAAGGGGCAGATAGAACCTGGGTCCCACATTCTCTGCGGGTGGTTCTGGAAAGCTCAGTGTGGTCCCGAGCCCCAAGAGTCCCCTGCTTGGACTCCCCTCGCCCAGCTCAGTGCAGCATCAACCAGGCAGTGATGGCCAGCTACTGTCAGTAAGTCTCCCAACAAGATCTCAAGCTGAGTGGCAGCAAGAAGAGAAGGCCACATGCCTGCCACCTGGGCTTTCCACGTAGAGCCATGCCCAGGCCTCCGGGCACTGCAGGCCTGCAGGGGCCTCCCCCCTGGCATCTGAGTCCTCTCCAGGTGTGAACGGGGCTCCTGAGCATCGCAGATGCTGGCCTCCCCCGGGGCTCCAGGGTGCCGGGCTGCTGACTGGAGGAAAAGGGGAAGAGGGCAGAGGTCTTCATGCTTCCTTCCCACGGCCAGGCTCAGTGCTGGTGCTCAGGCTCCGACTTCCCCAGGAATTCCCTAGACCACAGGACAATCAGGAGCCAATCATCTGAGGTCAGACCAGAGATCCCTCCCCACAGTCCTCACTGAGATCTAAGGAGGCCAGACAGAGGCTGCACGGAAAGAAGGCAGCCAGAAGCCCGGCAGACTCGCTCAGCCCAGAGCAGCACTCAGTGAGGTAGGCAGGGCATGAGCTCACAGTGCCAAGTCAAAGCCCAACACACAGGCAGAGACAAGGCCAGGGCTCTGGTTCTTGACTCTCAGCTTCGCAGTTACACACTCTGGTCTCGATTTTCTATAAATGTCTTCCTTTTATGATGGGGAAGGTGAGAAACCCAAAGCAAACCTGTGCTCCCTCAGCTCACTGTCCCTCAGCAACCCAGGCACCTGTGCCCGGGAACGGCAGGCCGCTAACAGGACATAGCTCTGCCTCTGGAACTTCCAAAGGCAGCTGAAGAAAAGCAGAAGTTACTCCTGGGATATACAGCACTAGGAGGTGATTCTGGCCACCAATCTCAGTCCCCTGCAGAGAAAAACTGGCACCTTGACCTGCTCTTTGGAGCCAGCTGGCACAACACTGTCACCATTAGCAGAAGCCCTGTCCATGGGTCCAGTGCTCAGGGTCAAAGCACCACACCCTCCTAGGCTTAGAAGCTTTGTCCCATGCACAGGGAGGGTTAGCATCTTGCCCAAGGCCACACAGCCAGGCGGTGGAGTGGGGCTTGTATCCTCTGACAGGCAGGTAGGCGAGTCTTGGCAGCAACCTGCATGGGGCCCAGGGCAGTGCAGCGGAGGGCAGGTGTTGGTCCGCTCCACACGCTGCCCTTGTCACTACTGCCAAGGCCTCACCCTCAGGCTTGGGCTCTGCACCTAGGCCCAGGTGGCTACTCATGACCCTCCGGTCTGCAGCCCATGTCCTGCCAGTGTAGGGCAGTCGAGCACAGCGTCTCTTCAGGAAGTAGCTGGGGACAAACAGGTTTTTGAGGAGCTGGCCCAGGGGCAGCATGTACACCTGAGAGGTGTGTGAAACAGGCCTGACCTGAGAGTGGCTGGGGTGTCTGTGTCTGACTGCTCTCAAACGTGTGGCCACCTGTGAGTGTGTGTCCTGCTGTGTGTCTGTGTGGATCTATACACCCTGTGTGACAGGGAGGTGGCTCGCCTTTCATGATCACGGGAGCAGTTCTGCAAGGGGAGACAGGCACTCCCTCAAAGCCCTCTGCCAAGGAAATGGAAGGCTCCCAGGTCACAGTGACTCTTGACCCCACTGAGGCCCCCCAAGCAGCTTTAGGAGCTGCCACCTGCTTCATGCTTAGGTGTGAGCCACCACTGCCCAGACAGCCCCTGGTGGGAAGAGAATGGCTCACCTCAGGATCCGTGGGAGCTCGGGGCTCTTGTAGATATATTTGTGCCTGTAGCCAAGATCCGAACGGAAGGGCACAAACTGCACTTTGAAGTCTCGGAAGCTTCGAGCTGGTGCGGCGATGCTGTAGAGCTGAGGACAGAGAGGTCAGTGCCTGAGGCAGTAGCCTGGCGTGCAGGTCCCAGCCCAAGGAACACCAGCCTGGCAGCTTCCCCTTCAACAGAAACCAGTCCAGAGTCCCACGTACACTGCTTCTGTCGCCACAGCTGGTCAGGACCTGGAGGCCCAGGGGTAGGCTGGCAGGAGCTGGGCCCAGGCTTGGCTCGTTGGCACACCCACCACTCGAGACACTGTCCTCACACCTTCCAGACTGCCCTTCCTCTAGGGAGCGGCCAGTTGGACGGGCCAGGCCAGGTGCCTGGGAGATGGCATGGCAGTCTTCAGGAGCTGGGGTGAAAGGGTCTGTGCCTCAGGCTTAGCTGAAATGGGCTCGATGTGTCCACTTCAACCCCCCGCCACATCAGCAAGAGCGGGTGGGCCTGAGCTGTGCGCTGCTGGGCGCCTCTGCATCCTGCCTCTGCCCTGTGCAGCTCCATCGTGTGTGTGCCTTACGGAGCCTGACTGCATGGGGCTGTCAGAGCAGGAAGCCCAGCCCTGGGCTGAATCTGCAGATGAGGCCTGCACACACCCAACTAGTTTGCCCTGCCCTCGCCATAACCAAGACCCAGGCAGCGTTCTCTTACCCTACTCTGTGGCTGGCAGTCAGGGCAAATTCAGCAAAAGCAAACACTGAGGCCCCACAAACAACATGGTCTGCTTTGGTATCAGTGCAATTTCAAAGGCAAGGAAACAGACTAGAAGCTTCTGTATCAGTTTTGACTGTGACTCCTACAATGGGCTGGAGAGATCCTCAGCAAGGGGTTCTTTGCCTTCAGCCCATAACTGACGAGCCCTTCCAGCTGAGTCCCAGGTTGGCCAGGGCTCTAATAATACTGGCAGCCCACCCTGGGAACCCTGTGTGGGGACTGGGAACTATCTGATTATTTTTCACAGTTCCTCCTGGAATCAGTATCCATCAGTGGGCCCCTGCCCCACCCTTGACACCAGATCGCCTGTGTCCTTCCCAAGCAGCCTGGAGATGACGCAGGATGATGAGCTGGCCTCCTGGGCCTGATGTGGCTGGTGCAGTGTGCAGGGGCTGCCTTCCCGCCTGCCCACTCCCAGCCTGGCCCACCCACATCGGCTGCCTTCCTGCCTGCCCACTCCCAGCCTGGCCCACCCACATCGGCTGAGTGTACAACATGCTGGCTGCACCAGAGGCAGAGGCCAGGACCCACCTTTCTGCCAAGCTGGAAGGGCACCACCGGGTCATCCTCAGCGTGCAGGATGAGCAGGGGACAGGAGATGTGCTTCACACTGTGGGAGGGAGAAGGGGCTAGGCCAAGACCCGGGAAAGGGCCAGAGTTGCCCAGACCCTCTGTCCCGATTTCTGCTGGACAACTAAAGTTAACCCTTCATTGTTTCTATGAACATCTATTCCAGCTAGGTGACAGGTGTCAATCACAGCTATATATCAACTCATTCACCAAAACTGGCCCCAGCATATCTTCTGAAGATTGAAAATGATTATTTTCCCAATAGATGTATTTTTTAAAAGTCACAAAACAGTATTTGTAAGTTGAATAATTCAGGTGGGCCAAGAAACTTAGAGTAAGTGAATGTTAGGAACCTGTTGGTAAAGAGCAGTGCCTCTAACTTACGGTCACTCCAACTCTGAACGTTTAGAAGTGAATCAGGATTTTTAGGATTAGACAGATCCAAATCCTTCAGCAAATCACGTAACACAAGTACGGGCTGCCAGGGCCGGTGAAGCCTGGGCTCTCCTCTGCGGCCCTCACTGAGGGGCGCCTGACCCAAGTCTCCTTTATCCCCTCCCCGACAGTGCTGTCTACTCCTTGAGGGCAACACTGGTGCACTCCCGGCACCTGTGGCAGGACCCGGTGGGGAGCCCCCATGCTGTCTGTCTCTGCTGCTGGCAGAAGGCACACACTCTGGTTCCCGGCAAGGCGTTTCTGATGTGTGAGTCCCTCCAACCTGAGGCTCTAGATAAAGTGGCAGTGCTTGGGATTTCCCAGACCATGGCCCACCTGAGCTCAGGAAAGCCCGCGTGCCCTGGGAGCCAGGCCTCTGACTTCCAGTGAGCTGAGGCTGCGGTCTCACCCAGGGCCACAGGCATTTCACGTGGCTCAGCTGGGAGGGTCAAGGCCAAACGCAGTTTCGGGGGCATGGTACTCAACCTGACTTTTAAAGAAGGAAACCAGTTCACTTAGATAATTCTTTTTCAAGTTTCAAAGCAGTAAAATTTACAAACAAGCAGAGTTTGTTGCTTATAATATTTGTTCAACTTTTCATTTGTTCTATTTTTATTTTTAGAACCAAAACATACTTGAGGGGAAAAAATACTCCATTTTTTTCATATTCTGTTTCAAATTGTAGATTTGAAAATAATTAAATATGTATAGGGTGGTTTACTTTCCCTCTTTTATTTTGAGATGGAGTTTCGCTTTTGTTACCCAGACTGGAGTGCAGTGGGGCGATCTCAGCTCACTGCAGCCTCTGCCTCCTGGGTTCGAGTAATTCTCCTGCCTCAGCCTCCTGAGTAGCTGGGACTACAGGATCGTGCCACCATGCCCAGCTAATTTTTTGTATTTTTAGTAAAGATGAGGTTTCACCATGTTAGCCAGGATAGTCTCAATCTCCTGACCTCATGATCTGCCTACCTTGGCCTCCCAAAATGCTGGGATTACAGGCATGAGCCATGGCACCTACTTTCCCTCTTTTTTGAAGAAATCAAAACCCATGAAATAAAAATATCACAGACATGGCTGGGTGCGGTGGCTCATGCCTATAATCCCAGCACTTTGGGAGGCCGAGGCAGGTGGATCACGAGGTCAAGAGATTGAGACCATCCTGGTTAACATGGTGAAACCCCGTCTCTACTAAAAATACACAAATTAGCTGGGCATGGTGGCGCATGCCTGTAATCCCAGCTCCTCAGGAGGCTGAGGCAGGAGAATTGCCTGAATCCAGGAGGCGGAGGGTGCAGTGAGCTGAGATAGCGCCACTGCATTCCAGCCTGGGTAACGAGCAAAACTCCGTCTCAAAAAAAAAAAAATCACGGACAATGTCAATACGATCTGAAAAGGTTTTTAAAAAATCCTTAACTAGAATACTTAACTTTTGGTTTACCTAATAGATTTTTATTAAGAAACTGTAATATTTTTCTATAACCAAACATAAATCAAATAGCTGAGGCAAAGACAATTTCTGAAGAACAGTATCGGCCAGGCGCAGTAGCTCACACCTGTAATCCCAGTACTTTGGGAGGCTGAGGTGGGCAGATCACCTGAGGTCAGGAGTTCGAGACCAGCCTGACCAACAGGGTCTCAAACTCCTAGGCTCGAGTGATCTGCCTTCCTCAGCATCCCAAAGTGCTAAGATTATAGGTATGAGCCACGGTCCCTGGCAGGTTTTCCCTTTTTAAGAGACCTGTTTGTTAGAGAACAACCCTAAATACTCTGAATTCCACCCTATTTGATTACTGTGACTAAAGAAGCTTATCCAGGGATTCTCCGAGTTTTTCTAAATAGAAAAATTAGTTCCTCCCCGACAGTACTCACTTTTCATCATTTGCAAATTTAATTCCACTGCTTGTAATAGGATCAAGGAAGAACCAGTCAAACCCAGGGAAGTATCGATATATCTGGAGACAAGATGGAAACCATTCTCAGAAGCACTGATTAAGATTTCCAGGCAAAGGTCAAGGATGCAGACAGTTCAAGTTCAGGAACCTATAAGGCCCATAACTACTCTAAGGGAGCAGGGGTGATACAGCCAAGGGGCCACCAGAGCTGTGCCCTGGCACCTTCTGCTCTGGCCATGTCCTGGCTTTGTTGCTGGGGACAGAAGACTCACCTACCAGGCCCCACAGACTGGTACGGCAGGGGCTGCCCTGAAAATGGGGCTCCCACACCTCCCAGCTAGGCCAGAATCCAGCCCAGACACTAGTCTTCCCACAGAAACCAGGGCCGCCACCCTTGAGAAAATGGAGTCTACAGACAGTTTCCTCACATAATTTAAGAAAAACAGCACTGAAAAGTAAGCTAAGTTAAAAGGCTCTCCTGGTCCGTAACTGAACAGCGAGAACAGGATGGACAGACGGACATAGGCCCGAGAAGTACATGGCCAGTGGGGAACGTGGGGGTCATGAACCAAAGTGGGAAGGAGGGAACATAACTGGCTAAGTTTGTTTTGTTTTTTTTGAGACAGAGTCTTGCTCTGTTGTGCAGGCTGGAGCAGTGGCACAATCTCGGGTTCAAGCAATTCCCTGCCTCAGCCTCCTGAGTAGCTGAGGTTACAGGCACATGCCACTGTGCCCAGCTGAATTTTGTATTTTTAGTAGAGACGGGGTTTTACCATATTGGCCAGGCTGGTCTCTAACTCCTGACCTCATGATCCACCTGCCTCGGCCTCCCAAAGTGCTGGGATTACAGGCGTGAGCCACTGTGCCCGGCCAACTGGCTAGGCTTTAAGAGAAGGTCCAAGGCTCCATTCCCAGCTGGGAGGGCATAGGTTGGGTGGGGCCTGGCTTACCCAGAATTCCCGCTAGGTTTCACCTGGGCTTTACCCCAAAATACAACTGGGAGGTCAGACTCCCTGGTCCAGAGTCCAGCCCTGCAAGCACTGTCCTTGCAGGGTGGGGGTCGGGGGGAACCCTGGCTCCACTCCTGAGCAGGAAGGCAGTCCTGCCAACACAATGCAGCCAATGATGCCACATTGTCCTGGCCTCCGGTGGGTCCAGATGCCATCAAATGACCCAACTATGACCTGTCCTTTCACCTGGCTGCAGGTTATAAACATCTTGGGCAGCTCTGTGGCCGAAACTAGTATTAATTTTTAATGAAATCTGTATTCATTAGAATATTTAAATAATAATTTAAAATAATAATCGATCCTGTAGTTATTTCTATGGTAATTATTTTAATAATAAAAATTGAATTTTCATAAAATCTGTACTTGCCACTGAAAATGGATGGCTCTTAGCTTCTTCACGGATATTAGTGAATGGAGATTCCAAAATTAGGGCATCTGGAGGCGTCTCTAGATAAACAAACAGGAAACTGAGAGGTGGGCAGGAAGCCAGAGACATACATGCAACCTGTGGAGCTCTGAGGGGCCCCCAGACAGCACAGGGAGCCCACAGCACCTCCTCCCCAGTATCCACCTCGACAGGCCTCAGATAGCTCCCGGGTCGCCCACCAGGGGACCAGAGATGGCTCTGGTCACTCCTAAAAAGCGGACTTGCTGATGCAGCCTCTCTGAGGCCAGGCCTGTGTGAGGCTCCCCAGCTCCACAGGTATATCATGGGGAGGGTGGTGTGGTCAACCCTGGGCGCCTCCTGAATGTCCAGCCCATGCTGCTCCGTGAAGACACTGAGCACCTGCAGCAGGGCCGGGACTCGGGAGCATCCTAAATGCCCACCACCATGGCTGGGGCCCAACGAGGCACTCACCTCGCTCACAGAGACGCCGCACCAGATTTGTTGCCACACTGGGAAAAGGGGAAAACATAGCTCAGTTGAATTATGATAAAATTGTTTGAGATGAGCTGGGTCTTATGCTGCAAAGTGTTCAGAGGAGCCATGGGGTCTGTGAAGCTACTGGAGTTTCAGGACAGAGTTGGGGAAATGGAGATGCCTCTAGCACTGGGGGTGACCCAGCTGCCCCGCCATCAGCTGACCCCTGCAATGAGGGTTGCATCCACAGCTTCCTTGTCCCTAAGGTGTGTCCTGCTGCCTCTTGCTGCCCGTGCCCTCCTATTGACTGGACCACCCGCTGGCTGGGGGTGGCCAGCATCTGCCTGCACCTCTCCTGCAGCCCACCATGCCCAGGGTCTTTCGCCATCCCAAGACCATGCCTCGTGGGCCCCATGCAGACAGCCAGAGGGATGGTCGGCGCCCCCCACTCACTTTTCTCCTAGATGCTTCCCAGCATGTAAAAGGGCTGCCCTGAAAGGAATGGTGGCAGAAAGGGAATGGCAGTGAAGATCTGGGGATTGGGTCCCTCAGAGACTATGGACCTCGAATCAGCAGATGACTCAGGCTGCCCACAAATGGAGTGTGGAAGTGCCTCCTGTCCTGACCAATGTGGGAAGCAAACCACCCACGGTGCCCTCTCCCAGCTCTGAAGACACTTCTTCCTCAGGGCCAAGTCTCCCTGTGGACACGCCTTGACCTCCACTGCCTATGTCTGTCCCATGTCACTTCCTGGACGAGGAGCTCAAACCCTCTGGGGTCTCTTTAGAGCTTCCCCTCCTGCCTCCGCCACAGGAGAGGAGCAAAGCTTGTTCGGACTAATAGTGCCACAGTGTCCTCAGGAATGGCAGCCTCTCTAGATCCAGGCATGGGAGTCACCAGGAAGACTGGCTCCCACTCAAGGCCACCTCCTGCTGGGAGCCCGTACCCAGTGCCCAGAGAGTGGGCCGCCTCCTGCTGGGAGCCCGTACCCAGTGCCCAGAGAGTGGGCCGCCTCCTGCTGGGAGCCCGTACCCAGTGCCCAGAGAGTGGGCCGCCTCCTGGGAGCCCGTACCCAGTGCCCAGGGAGTGGGCCACCTCCTGTGGGGAGCCCATACACAGTGCCCAGAGAGTGGGCCGCCTCCTGCTGGGAGCCCGTACCCAGTGCCCAGGGAGTGGCCCCAGATGTACACGGGGTTGTCGCCACTTCGTGCTTTGATCCAGTCAAAAACGTGAAGTGCGTCGTAAGTCATGCCCCGCTCAGACGGCGTTCCCACCGAGTCGCCCCAACCTGGGAGGGACAAACATCAGGAGGTGAGGTCAAAGACAGTTCACGGAACCTGGACACACACACCTCCCAAAAGGAGCCCAGAGCCAGGAGGGGACAGGGAGGGGCCTGCCCGGCCCGCCCTTCCAGAGTCCACTGGGCAGAGCACGCAGTGGGGAAAACGGGCACACCCCCACGTCCTCTCCAGCCCTGGGGAAGGCAGCCCTGCCCCTGCTGACTGCACAAACCAGACGTCCCCTCACAGGGTCACTCTAAATTGGTGAGTTGCAAATTTGAATGGCAACTAACAGCGAGCTGAGTCAACAGGACAGACCACAGAGCTTCAGAGCTGGCACCGGCATCCTCAGGCCAGGGCCAGGGCGGGCCTCACCCTCAATGATGGGGGGGAAGTGAGCCCACCTTCTCCCTGTCTTTCTTAACAGACAGGCTAGTGAGGTCTGGGGCAGTGGAAACCTCTGTCACCACCATCCTCAGCGCTATACTTCTCCCATTCCTCCCCTAGCAGCATCCAGGAGTTCAGATGAGCAGACAGATGAGCAGCAGTACAGATGGCGTGGTCAGATGCACAGCCCACCTACCTCCTCAACACCAAAGGCTTAGTCGGGGGCAGGACAGGGAAGAGTCCAGAGGCTCCAGAACAGGGAGGGCATTTCTGGGTTCAAGGCAACCCTCACCCAGAAAAGGAAAGATGCTGGCTACTCTTAAGGTTAATTAGCATCTTGTTTGCATAACACAAAATACTACCCTCTCCTCCCCACAAATTACAACCTCCCAAGAGTCCCTCCCGGGGTCTCCAGCAAAGGTGGAATGCAATTGTCTTTCCAGCAGCTCAACAGTGAGTCATGATCAGATGATCTGAAAGCACCACAAAGGTCAGAAAGAGCAGCTGTGCAGTGTAAGCAAAGCCCGCACTCCCACTTCCTGCCTCAGACACCAGAGGAGGGAGGGAGCCCTGCAGAGGGCTAAGGCCAGGCTGGGAGGCAGGGGCACCGGGACGTCGGACAGAGAGACAGCAACAGAGACAGGGACAGGAGACAGAGACAGACACAGACAGGGACAGGAGGCAGAGGGATGCGGACCAAGAGGCAGCTGGAGTGAGGGAGACGGAGGGACAGTCGGAGACAGAGCCGGGAGTCTCGGTGCCATTTAGAAATGTGGAGACTCCACGAGAAGTGAAACAAACTGCTGCATGGGATTTCGTTTCCTGAGAAGTACGGGAGGTGAGTGGGAAGAAGCCGCCCCTTCTGCCTCTCCTAAGGTCTCTAGCATGCAGCAGAAGAGAGCCCATGTCAGCATGGAGAAAAGAAGGAGAGGGCAAAAAAACACTTTCCCACTCCTCATTCTGGAGTTTTTCCCAGCCCATAACTCTCATCCTGATGGAACTTTCTTCCCTATGGTTGGCAGCATGGTGGCCCCCAAAAGTGTCCACGTTGTAATCAGTGGCACCTGTAAACGTGCTGGGTCACATCGCTGGGAAACGAAGGGTGTGAAAAGGATGACAGCTGCTGACTGTGGCCTGAAATAACCACGAGGGTCCTCATCAGGAAGAGGGAGAGAGAAGAGTCAGGGTCAGAGCCAGGCGACCTGGGACTCAATCACAGAAGGGCTGTGAGTCAAGGAACACTGGGCGGCTGGAAAGGGCAGCCAGTCATTCTCCCTGAGAGCCCTTCTCCCACTCTGATTCCAATCTCTGACCTCCAGAACTACAAGACGCTACATGTGTGCTGGTTTAAAGCACTACATTTGTGGTAACATGTTACAGCAGCAAGAGAGAATTAACACAACCCCACATCCAGGTGAGAGCCGCTCTCCTTTGTCCCTCCCATATCTCCTCTTGGTCTGAGGATAGATACCCCTCCTGGCCCCCAGAAGGTGAGGCAACCAGCCACACTGCCATCATCATCTCTGATCTCTCCAGCTGAGGACTACATTGTGGAATACTTTTTTTTTTCTTTTTTTAATTTTTTTGAGGCCGGGTCTCGCTCTGTCACCCAGGATGGAGTGCAGTGGCTTGATCTTGGCTCACTGCAACCTCTGCCTCCTGGGCTCAAGCTTTCCTCTCACCTCAGCCTCCCGGGTAGCTGGGACTACTGCCACCTGCTACCATGCTCAGCTAATTTTTTTGTATTTTTAGTACAGACAGGGTTTTGCCCTGTTGCCCAGGCTGATCTCAAAGTCCTGGGTTCAAGCAATCTGCCCTCCTTGGCCTCCTAAAGTGCTGGGATTACAGGAGTGTGCCACTGTGCCCAGCAAGAATACACTTTAAAACAGTCACTCAGTCAGTCGCAGTGGCTAATGCTTGTAATCCCAATACTTTGGGAGGCCAAGGCGGGTAGATGGTTTCAACCTTCACAGGCATTCAAGATCAGCCTGAGCAACATGGTGAAATCCTCTCCTAAAAGAATAAAATAAAATTAGCCAGGTGTAGTGGCATGTGCCTGAGCTGGGAAGATCACTTGAACCAGAGGTTGCAGTGAGCTGAGATCACAACACTGCACTCCAGCCTGGGTGACAGAGTGAGACCCTGTCCCAAAACCAAACCAAAACCAAACCAACCAGTCGCTCACTGTTAACACCAAGTATTTCTGTTGCCCATTAAAGCATAATGTCCTTAGTATGTATCAAACTATAAATTCTTGATCTGTTCAGTGGGAAGCCCTGGTTCATTCAAAAAGGCAGAAATACTGAGGCACAGAAGAATCTATCTTCTCTCATAACAGTATTTTTTTTCTTTTGAAACGGGAGTCTTGCTCTGTCATTGAGGCTGAAGCGCAGTGGTGCAATCTCAGCTCACTGCAACCTTCACCTCCAGAGTTCACGTAATTCTCCTGCCTCAGCCTCCTGAATAGCTGGGACTACAGGGGCAAGTCTCCACGCCGGCTAATTTTCGTATTTTTAGTAGAGATGGGGTTTCACAATGTTGGCCAGGCTGGTCACGAAGTCCTGACCTCAAGTGATCCAGCTGCCTCAGCCGCCTAAAGTGCTGGGATTACAGGCATGAGCCACCGTGCCGGCCTCTCTTAACGGTTCTTACTGTCTTCGTAACTTTAATAAGACAAACTTTGATGAGCATAAAATGTGTCTGATGTCCAGCTGCAGAGACAGTCTGAGTCGAAAAAAAGACAGCATTTTCTAATCTCAAATGTTGCAGGTTGGGTGCAGTGACTCATGCCTGTAATCCCAACACTGGAAGGCTGAGGCAGGAGGAGCCCTTGAGGCCAGGAATTCCAGACTAGCCTAGGCAACACAGCAATACCCCATTTCCACTAGACACAAACAAAAGAACAGCCGGGGTGGTGTCATGTATCTGTAGTCCCAGCTACTCGAGAGGCTGAGGCAGGAGGGGCCCTTGAGCCAAGGAGCTCAAAGCTGCAACAAGCTATGATCATGCCACTGTACACACTCCAGATTGAATGACAAAGTGAGACCCTATCTCAAAAGAAAAAATGTTGCTGACAGGGCATCCGACGGGGGCTCCACACGCTGAGCCTCCCCTACCAGAAGGGGCTCTCCCAGCAGCTGCATCAGGGGCTTTGTCAGGACTCAGAACACCAGCACAGCACAGCTCCCGCAGGCGCTGGCCTTGCTCCAAGCTTCTCCAAATGAGGCCTGCCCATGGGATACCACCAGGAGGCAGTGGAACTGTGCTCAGATGATGTGTCAAAAGAAACCTCACCTCTGTAGTCAAAGGTGACCACATGGTAACCAAGGGAACTCAGCACCTGTAAAGTGAAAAATAAGTATTTTTGGCAACAAATCCAAGCATCTGAATTGAGGGCAGCTTGCCTCTTACTAAACTCATCCAGCTTTCTGGCCTGTGCCTTGTATGCCGTGGCGGCTTCATAAAGACTGTGTGACATGCTGCCTGACTCCTGACTGGGTTTTATGAAACGCAGATACCAACTGCCACGGCAGGACCTGCTGACATCCCTGCCTGGGAATGCAGGAAGGATCCCCTTCCTGCTGCTTAGACGCTAGGGGACCAGGCGCAGACTCCCCAAGTTGCCAGGTTGCAGTCCACTCATGCTGCAGGGCAGCCTCTGGGGTGGCCTCCTCTGGGGACAGACAGCTCTCCGGGCTGCAGTGTGATGGCACACCCCCAGAAGGGGGGCTACACCGTGCAGAGACCCCATCTGGGGACCCTTGCTACAACCCAGTATTTCTTGGATTGTAAGAGTACTTGTCAATTTTCTGTTATTTTTCTTTTTAAATCCCTACAGACGAGCTGACCTCTCTCATTTAGATAACTCTTCACACACCCACCCCATGCCCTTGCTGGGACGTCCCCAGCAAGACTGCCACAACATCAGGTCACCCAGAATCACTGCTCCCCTCTTTAGGGAGGGAGCCGGGTGCTTCCCCAGGGTAGCCTGCACTTCCCTGCCAGCTCCTAGGCACCGCAGAGCCTACACCCACAGCCAACCTGCTCCAGCCCTGTTGACCTCAGCAGGGTGAATCATTTCTTTTAACAGAAACCTTAAAGAAAGACCAGTCACTTCTCAGACTCTCCCCACCTTTCCTGATTTAATGCAGTTTACTCCAGGGGGAAAATCCTCCAATAGCACAGAGCGGGGTGTGCTCTTGCTTCTGTCTCTGACCCCTTCTGCCCCGTGGGTCAGTGCAGACCCCTCTGAGGGGAGGAGAGCGAGGCTGTTCCAACAGCATCTCTTGGGCTCCAAGACCCAAGACAACCAGATAAAGAATAAAACCAAGCAACCAAGCATAAGTGAAGGTTTGCACACCCCGCCCTAGGCACTCCCTGTACCTGGGGAGCCCTGCAGGCACTCCCACCGGGTGCCTGGAAGCTGATTCAAACCCTGCCTGCATGCCCTACTGGGGTGAGCCTGCAATCTGGCAGTCAGTGTAGCAGCACCTGGTTTCTCTTTTCATTTTATACACAAGTAAGGTAACATTGAAAACAACTTCCAATGCCATTTATGCAGTTTGCCAATATTGGCACTTGGTCGACCACACCCATACATTCTGATTTTAGGGCCCAGCCCTAGAGGCAGTGTGACGGGCAGTCACAGCAGAGCAGCCAAGGCCCTACCTTCCAGCATGCTCACCCAAAGGTTGCCCAACAAAAGGCAGGACACCGTGGCTCACTCCTGCTATCCCAACACTTTGGGAGGCCAAGGTGGGAGGCTGGTTTGAGCCTAGGAGTTCAAGACCAGCCCGGGCAACATAGGGAGACTTCATTTCTACAGAAAACAAAAATTAGCTGGGCATGGTGGTGGCATGCACTTGCAGTCTCAGGAGGCTAAAGGGGGAGGATTGTTTGAGCCCAGGAGATCGAGGCTGCAATGAGCTGTGACCGCACGACTGCTCTCCAGCCTGGGCAACAGAGCAGGAGGACCCTCACACAGAAACAGCCCAGCAATGGTTAACTCTCAAGCTGTGAGTCTGGTGACTCCCTTCACTTTCTGCCCTGGAAGGAAAAGCTCAGGGAACAGATGTGGGTGCCGCCTGCACTCACCTTGTAAAGCTCCACGCGGTGGTCACCTCCTCTGGAGAAGGAAACAGGACGTGGCATGAGTGCATCTTCTCAGAGTTGGGCCCCAGGTTAACTCGTCCTCTGTACCCCAAACCAGGGAGGGGCTGATGAAAGAGGGCGACCTCCTCCTTGGGTCCCCCTAAGTGGCCCCACACTCGCCTGTGGCAATGCTGTGCTAAGGAGCAGATGGTCTTAGCACTTTGGGGGACATTTCTTAATGACTGCTTTTATTTTTCAGTAGGTAACGCACACCTACAACCCCAAACTAGAAAGACACTGAAGGAAATCCAGCAAGGCTTCATCCACCCCACCCCATCCCCTCCCGGCTTACCTGTGCCAGGGATCCCCTGTGTGGGCAGAGGGTGAGCCCCAAGGGACCTGTGAGGGCACTTTCTGCCCTCACTTCTCACTCCATGCATCTCAGCTGACCTTCAGAACTCTGCTTACCCGCGCTGCCCTGGCCTCATCTCCTGGTCATCTCTGCTGTTTCCCACCTGCCACTGACTTCCATTTGTTCCCGTGACCACCCTGCCGTACAGCCTTTCACAGGTATGTGATCTGCACATGGGATATGCTCCTAGAATCTCCTCACAGAGACCCTCAAGTGCCGGAACAGTCGCCTCCCACCAGCTACAGCTTCAACGTGCATGTCACTACTGAGACTGAGCCCGTTCGGCGCATACACCCAGTTTGTGCTTCCTCATCTGAGGCCTATTTAGGCTTCCTTCCTGCTTTCTTTCCAGCTGTTGGCCAGCTGTTACCCTGGACTGACCCCACAGCAGGGACAAGGGCCACCTGGGAGGAAGGGGGTCCCACTCCACACTCTCCATACTCCCCAGCTGTGCTCCTCCTTCCTCAGGAATGGTCTCACCATTTCAGGTATGGGGTCATGAGTGTTGCTGGTGGGAGACCAGCATGAGATGAAGGAGAAAGCCAAAAGTACAGAAACAAAAATATAAAGGGTCAGGGTGTTCCAGACCAGCCTGGCCGACATGGTGAAACCGGTCTGTACTAAAAATACAAAAACTAGCTGGGCATAGTGGCGGGTGCCTGTAATCCCAGCTACTCGGGAGGCTGAGGCAGGAGAAGCACTTGAACCAGGGAGGCAGAGGGTGCAGTGAGCCGAGATCGGGCCATTGCACTCCAGCCTAGGCAACAAGAGTAAGACTCCATCTCAAAAAATAAATATAAATAAATAAAGGAATGAGTTTCAAGACAAGGAGGAAACACTGTGAAATAATTTCAGTTATCATTGCAGAGTTCACAGTGGCTAAGTTTCTGCAATTTCCTACATTAAGCAATAAGGAACAGTTGCTGGGAATCCAGGGGGTTTGGACCTCAGGAAAACCTGGTGGTGGATCCTGCAGACCAGTGAAACCCCACTGGGGAGGCACAGGACAAGGAAAGCAGGCAACGTGGGGGTGGTAGGGCCTGCAGCCAGGCGGTCTCTGCAAGAGTTGGGGGGCAGCAACCCTTGGAAGTCAGAGCATCTCTTCCGAACCTCAAGTTACAGGCAGGTTTCTTTTTAACCACATGACGAGCACTGCAGAACTGAACCTTATTCATAGCCAACCACAGTTCCCTAATTTATAAAACAATGCTGCAACAGCTGTTTGTAGTCGTCTGCTCTTTGAAAAGCAGAAGAGAAACCCCTTGCAGCTTGTCCCAGACAAAGAAGAAAGCAAACTGTGCAGGACAAGCCTGATTCAGGAGCTGCCCACGCTGTCCCTGGCACAGAAACCGCCTCACAGGCCATGCCACTGGGCTCTTTCAGCAATGCCCTCTGCACAGCTCCGCCATGCAGACACCCACTTAGGCCTGCTTTTCCCTCTAGAAGGGCCCAGCATGGCTCTCCTTGCTGGCTCTGCTGTAAAATGTTTGCCCCCAGTCCTGACACACCCTGGTGCCACACTGGCCCTTGCCCCAGCCTAAAGTGGCCCTGTCTCCATGCTGGGTCTGCCTCTGCGCTGGCTCCTGGCTGCCTCTTTCACACATGAAGACCGTTGTGGTTCTCAAACAATGTTTAGTTCAAAAATGCATCCATCCCCATCTGCTCCCCGCCCTGCCACCCCGCATCCATGCTGGGCTCTCCCAAAGAGGTTCTTCTGAACAGCAATCACATGGTGTGAAAGGAGCACCAGGCTGCCTTTAAGGCAGGGAGAGCAACTTTTGTGCAGCCAGTAGAAAGGACTAGCCGTTAGACTCACTCAGGAAAAGCATCTGAAATAAAACCGGGCAGGGTTGATCAACCAAATAGTGCATGTACTTCACCAGCAGTCCATTAGGGTGAACACGGGGCTCACAGCCGGAAGCAGAGATCACACTGTAGGGCGGCCTGCAAGGACCCCAGCACCTGATGCCTTCAGCCTTTCCCTCTCGTCCCTTCTCAGCACCTGCCACCTTTTTTCCAGGAAGTGTGCCTTCTCCTCCAGGGCTGCCCTGGCTCCAGCCTCACCTGTCTGTACCCTGGAGCTATCTTACAGGTAACAAAGATCTGCCTGCCACTTCAGGCCACATGACACATATGGAGAAAACCAGCTGCCAGTGAGCTGGAGATACCCATTCCCAAGGGCCCAAGGCAGCCACAGCCAAGTGCCATCATGACCCATCCTCAGAGGGACCCCAAAGCCCTCATTCTCTGAGAAACCCTGCTCCCCAAATCACATACCAGTGGATGGTGTGCCCTTTGAGATTACAACAGGGAGAAAAAAAAATGTCCCTCTGGCCGGGGAGCTTGGCCTAGACTCAGCCTCCTCCATCTCAACCCAGGCTGGAGCTCCAGATAAGGGGCATCTGCACACAGCTTCCCATGCTTGGTCTCCAAGGTGCACATCCCTGCTGGCCTCAGCCTGTGGGAACACTGCTTCGTGTAAAGTTCACCTAAACTCTGCCTTCCCCCAATCCTGTAAGAACTCTGCCTTTCCCTTTGTTGCTGGGAGTCTCTCCCTCATTGCAGTGGGTCAGTAGACCCGATTTTGTGGGACCTCAGGTTTGCTCTTGCTGGTTTCCAGCAGACTGGGCCAGGACATTCCCACTCTAAAAAGGAACCGTGCTCCACAACGAAGATGGGCTCTCTCCCTCACCTGGTACCTGCGTTCCCATGCAGGTACAGAATGATAGGGTGGCTGGAAGCCAAAGCATCCTCGTACCACATCTGGTCTTTGCCTTGGGCGTTCTTCCACCAGACAGCAGGAACAGTGTGCCTGGGGACAGAAACAGAGGGGAGCACAGGATCAGATGCTCCTTCTGTCCTCATCCTGGTGTCTGCCTGTGGTATTACTTAATCAGCTCAAGTCCGACATCAGGAAGCTGCAGACCCCATCTAACTACAGGGGTACAGATGGGGGCGGGTGGTAGAAAACTATCCTGTCACTAGAATCAATAACCACAGAACTGCAGGCTGTGTGGATGGCACTGACAGCTTTAGCAGGAGTGTCCCCCTGATTGCCAGACAAGCCTCTTCTGGGCCACAAAGGCTTCCACTGCGGCAGTCACCACTGGGGCCTGGCAGAGAAGCAGCACTTAGTCCATCCTGAGTAACAGTGCTTTCCTCATACCTATCCCACATCCCAGTTAACCCCATGCTTAAACTGTCCACAGCTTAACTCATAATGAATTTCAAACAGTACACGCCATCACATGTGCTCATTCAGCAAAACCGATGCTTGTGAGCCAGACTAGAAACCGGGCCATCACAGACGCCATTTCTAATGTTGAGCAGGCAGGCACCTTCCCGGCCTGCTCACAGTCCACGCCTGGTCAGGCACTCCGAAGCCATTGGTCTATCTGGCCAAACCCTTCTTCAGAGAGATACTAAGGTTAGTTTTAACTCAGGCCAAGTCGAACACTGTTAATCACTGGGGAGGGTCCAAAAAAATAGCTTTTCTGTAAAGCTTATTCAAATTCATTCTGGCTACCGTGACAAGAATCTTAAAAAAATTAATGGCCAACTTCTTATTGTCTAGATCTTAAGCTTCAGCGTCTCATTTCTTTTCTTTTTGAGATGAAGTTTTGCTCTTGTTGCCCAGGCTGGAGTGCAGTGCACAATCTTGGCTCACTGCAACCTCCACCTCCCAGGTTCAAGCGATTCTCCTGCCTAAGTCTCCTGAGTACCTGGGATTACAGGCGTGTGCCACCACGTCCAGCTGATTTCTTGTACTTTTAGTAGAGACAGAGTTTCTCCATGTTGGTCAGGCTAGTCTTGAACTCCCAAACTCAGGTGATCCACCCACCTCAGCCTCCCAAAGTGCTGAGATTACAGGCGTGAGCCACTGCGCCCGGACTCTGCGCTTCAGCATCTCACTTCTAATGTCTCTCTGATCTGTTCAAGAGGATCACATTTTGGGGTGGATCTAATCAGTATGATCATCACTCCCATACAGTTATAAACCTGAGAGATAGGATGGCACATTTTGAAGGTGCTGGGAGCTGATGTGCTTCCAGTAGCCAGCCCACCCCAAACCTGGGCTCCTAATGAAGAGCCAGGAAGCTCCCAGCCAGCAGAGGACCCATTCCTTGGCCTCCCCTCTCAGCAGACAGGCGATGGCCAGGCACCACTAGGTTTGGCCCCCAGGCTTCACTCTAGGCTTAGAGGCCCTCCTTTCAGGAAGCTAGTGGGACGGTCTGATGAAGTGATGGTGGAGGCAGTTGGTGAGCTGGGCCTGCTGTTGCCTGAGGGTCTACTGTCATTGTGACTGCAAAGAGCATGGAAGTGGACAGCAGCCACATCCAACACACAGCTGGCTGTCACTGCCTTGAGACTTGGCATCACTAAACAAAACCTTTCTGGGTAACTGAAAATGTATGCAGGTGTTGTGAGTACTTCCAGCCTAAGTCTCACCACCATAAACACCCTCCTGCAACAGGACAGGCTCGTATTAACCAGGAGGAAGGCTAACCAAGTCCCACTCAGCAGCTCTGTGCAAAACAGGTCATGCTTCAGACAGAAACCTGAAGATGCCCACAGACATACATTGGTCAGTAAATGCTGGAGTGAATCAAATCAGAAAATGATGAAAGACTTTAATCCCAGCACCAACTACTAAGAACAAAAACCTCCCTTCTCATTTTATGTTCTTTACCAAGGACCACTGTTAGAAATGTCTGAATGTTCTCTCATCCACACTGGGAAGCTACTCACAGCATTTCATTTAGAAGCTTCTCACATACACAGTGATTTCTGAGACAGCGGAAAGGGACATTATGCCTACTGAAAAATAAACTCAGCTAGATAAAGAGGCTGTGATTCGGGCTAGCTTCTCAGAGAAAAAAAGGAAAGGCCACCGTGAGGTTGCTCAGTTTTAATTCAGTTGTTCAGAAGCACAACTTGTGTAGAGAAGACAACATTAAAATGTATTCCAAGGAGAAACAAAGAAGCCACAAGACTTAGGCTCAATGTAAATTTATGGCTTAAAAAAGTAAATACTTAGAAGACAACCGACACCATCACCATCGGCTGGTGAGAAGCTATATGTGAAAAGAAATCGAGCTGTTTTCAGTATCTAGATGTTCAGTTCTTGGAAAAGATATGTTCAAACCAGTGTTTGCAATTCTTCCCTTATATTCTCTTTCTTTCGTTTCCTTTTTCTTTTTTTTTTTTTTTTTTTTTGAGACAAGCTTTGCTCTGTCATCTGTCACCCACACTGGAGTGCAGTGGCATGAACTCAGCTCACTGCAACCTCTGCCTCCTGGGGTCAAGTGATTCTCCTGCCTCAGCGTCCCAAGAAGCTGGGATTACAGGCGTGCACCACCACGCCTAGCTAATTTCTGTAGTTTTAGAAGAGGCAGAGTTTCACCATGTAGCCCAGGCTGGTCTCGAACTCCTGGCCTCAAGTGATCCATCCGACTCGGCCTCCCAAAGTGCTGGGATTACAGGTGTGAGCCACTGTGCCTGGCCTCTTATAGCCTGTTTCTAGCTTCTTTTTTTGCTTTTTGTTTTTCCTAAAAACAAGGCTCTCTAGAAATAATAATCTATTCACAAAGCCTTTGCTGTTTTGAAAGCCTCGGAACAGAGTTTAAAGTTATTTCATCCCTCAATCTTACGATCAAATTTACTAAGGTCTTCCCTTTAGAAAAGAAAGAGGTAAAGATAAAAATGAACATTTCAGAGGCCACTGCCAGAGACAGTACCAGCTCAGTCAAGTAGGGCCTTTTCCTGCTGCTGGAGGGGCTACAGAGCTTACTGGCACTCACCAGACTCCAACGGACACATCTTCCTCTGGCTGCAGGTAGTAGTTACACGTGTGATTCAAACCTTGATCCTGTGGTTTTTTCAAGTCAATGAAATAGGGAACCCTCACTGTAGGAAACAAAGAGATGGAAATTAGCATCACTGGCAGTAGATGAATACACACACACACACACACACACACACACACACAGACATGCACACAGACATACACACACACATGCACACAAACATGCATACACACACGTGCACACATATGCATCCACATGTGCCCACATACACACAAATCCACAGGTGCACACCCACAAACACACACTGCAGAAGCTCTCAGAAACCACCAAGTTATTTTCCTGTGCAATCCTGCAATCATGCCAGACCTACAGGCCCAGCCTCAGGAGAGTAGGGGCCGAGGCCAGTGTGGGCAGGGACAGATACTGCAGTGAGGGTAAGGTCTGTGTAGAGACTGGATCGCTAAGGTCTAAGGTTATTCAAGGTGTGAGGAGATGCAAATGAGCGAAGGGAAGATCCCCAACAGGTCTGAAGGATAGGCCGGCCAGGAGGGAGGCTGGGGAGGCAGAGCCTGCGAAAAACACAGGTGAGCCTGGTGCCGGGTGGAGCGGGAAGGACAGCAGGAAAGGGGATGGTGCTGCAGGACCTAATGACTAACTGAATGTTGGGTGGCAAAACAGGTAAAGAGGATTCCAAAGTTTCTAGGACTGATGCCTAACACAGAGAAGACAGCAGAAGGTGAGGTGTGGGAGCAACGAGAGGGGTGAATCCACGGGACCCATGCAGAGCAGAGTGAAATCAGTGCAATGGCCCGGCAGAAATCATGCATTAATCAGGTCATCTGCCAGTAGGGCAGTGAGTGAATTAGCCAGCACCCCAAACTGTGGAAGACTATGGGGCCCTTAGACCTGGAGGATCCTCTAGGACCTGTGGCCACGAGAGCAGGAAGGTCACCATGGGTGTGGGTGCGGGAGTGGTATCCCCAATTTGTTATTGTAAAAACGTGCAAACGAAAACCCCCATGTCTGGCTAGGAGGAAACAGAGAAAGAAGCCAGGTTGCTCGCACAGCTTCGAAGTGTGTGTGGGGAGAATGGGAGCAATTTTTTCCTTATATATACCATTGTACCCGTTTTTTTCTTTTTCTTTCTTTTTTTTTTTTTTAGCTCGTTGCCCAGGCTAGAGTACAATGGCACGATCTTGGCTCCTGGGTTCAAGCAATTCTCCTGCCTCAGCCTCCCAAGTAGCTGGGATTACAGGTATGTGCCACCATACCCTGCTAAGTTTGTATTTTTAGTAGAGACGGAGTTTCTCCATATTGATCAGGCTGGTCTCGAACTCCCGATCTCAGGTGATCTGCCCGTCTCGACCTCCCAAAGTGCTGGGATTACAGGTGTAAGACACCATGCCCAGACCACTGTTGTACTCTTACTGCTTTTGCTGAACACAACTTTAAAGTAAGTTTAACAGAAAAATGAAAAATTTAAAATAAACCCATAAACCCTGAGGTGGGATTTGCCTGCCTTATAAAATGGCAACTCCCAAAAACAGACAGTGACAGAGAGCAGTGTGGGCCTGGCTTCTCTTCAGCTATCTCTGGTGGACAGGGGTTGCATGAAGAATCTCCCACGTCCATGTGGCACGCTGGACATCTAGCCTCACTTCCTCAAATGTCACCAGGCTGGGCACACAAGGACATGGGGACACACACTCCTTCCCAGAAACTCCCTGAGTGCCTGCGACCACATGGGAAGACAGTTCATCCCACCAGGGCTGCAGGTCATACCCCACCTTCTTAATCCATCTCTTCCCCAGGAAGCAGATACACCTTCAAAACTTTAATAAGAAATTTCTCTCAAAAGAAAAGTGGCAGGCTGGATGTGGTGGCTCATACCTGTAATCCTAGCATTTTGGGAGGCCAAGGCAGGTGGGACCTGAGGTCAGGAGTTCGAGATCAGCCTGGCCAACATGGCAAAACCATGTCTCTGCTAAAAATAGAAAAATCAGCTGGGCGTGGTGGCTTGCACCTGTAATCCCAGCTACCTGGGAGGCTGAGGCAGGAGAATTGCTTGAACCCTGGGGGGCGGAGGCTGCAGTGAGCCAAGATCACGCCACTTCACTCAGCGTGGGCAAAAGAGCAAGACTTCATCTCAAAAAAAAAAAAGAAAGAAAAAAGAAATTCAGCAGCCTCTTCTGCAACAGGACACAATTGAAGAAATTGGTCATTTTACCAAAGCTTTGACTGGAATGGGGTGCTTTCCTTCAAGGAGGCAAACTTGACTTGTGGAGCCAATAAAAGCTCCGTGGATTAAACTGGTCAGTCCCTGTACAGGGTTCCTAAACTGTGAGAAAGAATGTCACTTTCTAACAGGTCCAGGAGCCCCAAGTTATTTTAGGACTTCACGAGGAGAGGTATTTGAGGGTACAAAACCGTGGTTAAAGTCAGCTTTTAAAAAGTCTTAACTGAGGGCCAGTGCGGTGGCTCACGCCTGTAATCCCAGCACTTTGGGAGGCTGAGGCAGGTGGGTCACAAGGTCGAGAGATTGAGATCATCCTGGTCAACATGGTGAAACCCCGTCTCTACTAAAAATACAAAAAATTGCTGGGCATGGTGGCGCGTGCCTGTAATCCCAGCTACTCGGGAGGCTGAGGCAGGAGAATTGCCTGAACCCAGGAGGCGGAGGTTGCGGTGAGCCGAGATCGTGCCATTGCACTCCAGCCTGGGCAACAAGAGCGAAACTCCGTCTCAAAAAAAAAAAAAAAAGGCTTAACTGAGATTCCTTATGGAATAGAGTTCTATCAAAGCCAATTTAAAAAGCCTATGTAAAAACTAATTATTTGTGTTGTACTTTATGCAAATAATCAGGCCAAGTATAATAAGGCTAAAGTTTATTTTGCAAACAAATCAGTCCTTTAATGATTTGTCTTTTAATAAAAATGGGGACTGGAGAGAGAAAAATTATGCTTTAGAAAAACCACTATAGCATAACTGTTGTCAGCTATTCTTGCATTTTTCCTGCAGTTTGAACTAGATCTTTTTTTTTTTTTTTGAGACGGAGTTTCGCTCTTGTTACCCAGGCTGGAGTGCAATGGCGCGATCTCGGCTCACCACAACCTCCGCCTCCTGGGTTCAGGCAATTCTCCTGTCTCAGCCTCCCGAGTAGCTGGGATTACAGGCACGCACCACCATGCCCGGCTAATTTTTTGTATCTTTAGTAGAGACAGGGTTTCATCATGTTGACCAGGATGGTCTCGATCTCTTGACCTCGTGATCCACCCACCTCGGCCTCCCAAAGTGCTGGGATCACAGGTGTGAGCCACCGCGCCCGGCCTGAACTAGATCTTAAATTCTTTGTGGGCTACGAGTCACCAAACTAACGCATTCAAATCTTTACTTTTAAAACTGGGAATTGTACTCCTTACCCTAGTACCCGTTATTTACCTTACAGTACACTGTTTCCTTAAATGCAGTGCTAACACTATAGGTGACAATACAAATCCCTGGAAACCCTGCCAGGCCTGTGTGAGTGTGCTCAGAGAGCTGCAAAGTGATTCCATTTCTCTCACCTTGGGGTAAACAACTACCCTCACTACACAACCCTGGCCAGCAGGAAGAAGTCAGAGCTGTCTTTGCCCTTTCTCCATCTTCATTAGCCAGCACTTTAAGATTAAGGTGTTATGAGACCCAAAGGGGGCCAGGTGTGGTGGCTCATGCTTGTAATCCCAGCACTTTGGGAGGCTGAGGTGGGTGGATCACAAGGTCAGGAGTCAGAGGCCAACACAGTGAAACTCCATCTCTACTAAAACTATAAAAATTAGCCAGGTGTGGTGGCACATGCCTGTAGTCCCAGCTACTCGGGAGCCTAAGGCAAGAGAATTGCTTGAACCTGGGAGGTGGAGGTTGCAGTAAGCCGAGATTGTGCCACTTGCTCTCTAGCCTGGGTGACAGAGCAAGACTCCGTCTAAAAAAAAACAAAGAAAAAGAAAAACCTAAAGAGAGGGATTGAAACCACGACTGCAAAATTATAACCGAGACAGTGAAAGCGATCTGATGTAACTGGCGCCCTCTTGCTTCTGGCCTCCACGCTGTCCTTGGCATTCCTGGGCACATTCTGGCCTCCACGCTGTCCTCGGGCATTCCTGGGCACATTCTAGCCTCCACGCTGTCCTTCGCATTCCTGGGCATATTCTAGCCTCCACGCTGTCCTCGGGCATTCCTGCGCACATTCTAGCCTCCACGCTGTCCTTGGCATTCCTGGGCACAGGCTGACCTAACTTTGGGAGGAACTTAGTTTATAGTTTAAAACAAAGATGGCATCCCTTTCTGGAAACAAACCCTTCTCACCTGGGGACGAGACTACTTTTGTAGGACTAACATTTTAGCCACAAGATTGGAAATTATGGTTTAAGAGTCATGCAGCTGGAGGCTACAAGACTGACCCTCCCCAAAATGCTCCTGGTGATAAAATCACTACTGCAGAACCTAAGACCAGTGCTTGAGATATTTTACAGACCCTGCACTTGATGGATCAGCTGGCACCACCCAGATCAACAAACTGGCTCATCTGATCTTGTGGCCTCCCCCCAACCTAGGAACTGACTAAGCACAAGACAGTTTAGACTCCCTATGAATTCACCTCTGACCTGACCATCAGCACTTCCAGCTCACTGGCTTCCCTGCACCCACCAAGTTGTCCCTAAAAACTCTGATCCCTGAATGCTATGGGAGACTGATTTGAGTAATAATAAAAGTCTGATCTCCAGGAAAAAAAAAGAACACAGCCATACAAGACTTCAGATTTTATTTTGGCAATGGGACCTGGAGGAGGCTCCTGAGCAGAGGGAGTGACTAGAAATGAGTTCACTTCAGACTCCAGGGCCTCCCCCTGCCGCCTCCATCCTGGGACTTCACCACACACTTCTGGAGCCTGAGAGCTGCAGCCCAAGGTGCCAAGTCTGTCATCTGGCAGCTGGGAGCGTGGTGGCTTCCTCAACACAACTCTGAATATCCGCGCCTAAAGCCCACTGTCCGTCCCACACCCAGACCCACTCAGCCAATCCTGCCTCTGACGCTGGAACCAGCCCTGTCTCTGCCAGATGGGAGTGGGTGTCCTTGAGGGCTGAAGACACTGGGCATCCACCAGCTCCGCCTCAGGCCTCACTCAGTTCTGCGTCTGGAGAAGGAGGCCAAGCTCTTGGAATACAAACTGTCCAAGAGTTCTGAGGGCATTCCCTGGCCACTGAAGTGTTTGACAAGGATTAGCAGCTAATCCAGAAACCTTCCAAGCCCAAGAAATCTAAGAACTAGGAAGACAAATTCTATTCTAGGATGGCCTCATTCCAGGAAGCTGGTCTTCCAGTTCACTTTTACTCATTTTAGAAACAACCATGAAAAAAAGGCACAGTGACTGCTCTGAAGTCCCCCAGACGCTGCCTGGGCACTTTCCCTTCCTCCAACCAGCATCATGTGGCATGGGAGGCATGGGGCTTGGTCAGTCCCAGGGATCACACACTCCCAGAGTGGGTGGCTACAGGACACCTGGCCAGTATTACTCCACCCTGCCCAGGCCTCTGCTTCATCCACAGACCTGGGGTGGGGACAGACTGCTCAGCCCCATGGCAGCCCCACGGGAATGGCCCAGGTGGTGGGCCCCTTTGCCTAGTGCCACTGAGGTCCAGCTCTCTCATGGCTCCCTCTCATGGGCTCTTCTGAACTGGGAGCCCCTCAGGCAGGCCCCAGACCCGTGGGCAAGCAAGGCCCACAGAGCTGCTGGGACTGAGGCCTCTGACTCTGCTTCCCCCGATTTTCACTGTCTACCCCTCTGGTAATGTCATCACGTACCAGCAACCCAAACATCAACAGCCGTGATGGAGAAAGGATCCTGTACGCATGGGCACCGTGGAGAGTGAGGGAGTGAGAATATGAGTGAATAAAAAACGACCTGCTCTGTCATACTTCTTTTATCTGCAAAATACTTCTTGGGGGAAAGGCTGAAACTACTGAGCTATGACGGACATCTTTGAGTACCGAGGGTTTTAAGCAGGGCTAAGTCTCATTCTAATCACTGTGAGTGACAGACAACCTTGATACCAGCAGCCATAAGAGGTGTGGTGTCAATAAGGGAAGGCCAAAACTGGTTATTTGGGTTTTATCAAATTCCAATTACTTGATGCAGGTTACAGGGCCTTACGTGTGAAAAAAAGGGGATAAGAGAAGAAAGATAACAGGAGTTAACAGGGATTGCTCAGGGTAAGAAAAAAAAGGAGGCTGGCCCTTTGCTTTAAAAACAAATGCATTATAATAGATCTGACCTATTTCCAAAAAAGCCCTCCCTGGCTTCTGAACCAAGACATGCCTCTCACCAGGAGACGCCTTCTTGACCCAAAGGCAAACAAGGCTGGGAAGATGTTCTAGGCTTCATAAATGCTGGGTCTCACCAAACATCTTTTGGATGGAATCAGACTGTGAATACAAGTATTGAAAAGTACACATATTTATGTGTATGTAAACAGACACACAGAAAAAAGGCCAGTAGGAAATAAAGTACAGTGTTAAGGATTTTCTCAGAGTAATGTTCATTTTCTTATTTATGCTATTCAGGGTTTTTTAGCTAATTCTTTTGTTTTTAGAATAATCAAGTACGTTTTGCTTATGAAAATTTATTTAAAGTAGAGTAATGCCTTAATTCATAGGTGCTATGCATTTTTAAAAGCTTACTTATCTTATTTATAAATTTGGTTTCAGATAGATTTGCTGTGAAGTTAAGAATACTTTAACCATGTTCTGGGGCCCAAGAGATTGCTACTCTTCCTGTAATACTGAACGAATGCCCTGGTCACGCTTCTCGTCTGGAGACAAGAGCAGAGCCCCCTCCGCAGGGCCACGCCACAGACCCCGACTTCCTCAGCGGGGGACACAGACACAGACCTGTAAACCTTGGATGCTCATTACAACTGAAAAACCAACAAACCCCATGCTGCTCCTCCTCCCTCCCAAAGGGACAGAGATCCACACTTGGGAGGGCCCTACATGCTGACATGACACACCGTGGCTTTCTGGGGAGGACAGCGGAGCCTGGGAACTGGCACTGCTCATCATGGAGCAGCGGAGGAGTGGGGTGTGGGCGGGGCTAGGCAGATGGCCGGGGGTGAGGCAGAAGAAATGTCCAATCGCTGCTCCCAGGCACACTGTTCCTTGGTGCTAGATCTTTGGTCAGCTTTTCAAAAGAGGCAGGAAACACAGCTCTTTATCACACTGACAAGTAAACATTTCTTTCAAAATACCACTGGGCTGGGTGCAGCGGCTCACACCTGTAATCCCAGCATTTGAGAGGCCAAGGCAGGAGAATTGTTTAAGCCCAGAAGTTTCAGGCCAGCCTGGACAATATGGCGAAAGCCCATGTCTACTAAAAATACAAAAAATTAGCCAGATGTCATGGTGGTAGGTGCCTGCAGTCCCAACGACTCAGGAGGCTGAGGTGGGAGGGTCACCTGAACCTGGGAGGTCGAGGCTGCAGTGAGCCGTGATCACACTCCTGCAGTCCAGCTGGGGCAACAGGGCCAGGCCCCATCTCAAAACAAAACAAAACAAAACGCTGCTGTAGGCTCTCCTACTCCAGTGTGGGAGACAGATGGAAGGAAATCATTAAGGATGGGTACCTTGGGAGGCTCAGCCTCCCTCACCTGAGCCCAGCCCTCCTTTCCCATGCCATGGGTCTGGACCAGGAGAACCCAAAGTTCTCCCTCAGAGCAGCCACCACCTCCTTAGGAAACTCACAGAGCAAAACCTGTAGGCTGTGTGTCTACAGTAGCCCAACAATTAAGCTAAAGAAAATCTACTCAATTTGAACATTTGCTGGGGGTCCATAGTGTGCCAGGCCACGCAGGGCAATGCACCCCACACATCCTCCCTTCAAGAACCAGCTCACGTGCCCAGCAGCAAAGGCACCTGCCCAAAGAGGCCGGCAAAGGATGAAAAGCCGTGAGGGTCCAGTCTGAGGTCTGCTGATGGTGACTCTGCAGCCCCATAGCTTCGTGTTTATACCTAAGCCCCAAATTCTTCCTGGGCTGTACTGTATATATTTAAAGAACATTAAAGTCAGAAAAACAAAACTCTCATCATTCTAGTATGTTGTTAGTTTCATTTTGAGTTTGTGCTTCTCACAAGTGGCAAAACTTGGAGATGAAAAATTCCTAGAAGTTTAACTACCTTTCCATTAGAAAAATCAAATGCTTCTTGTACACTACATATGTTTTACAGTTATTTTGAGATATCCAAATTAAAAAAACCTCAAATTTACAAAGTATTAAATACGGGTCTTACAATTTCTGTTCTTCCTACCAGCATAAAAACAAACAAAAACAGAAATTCCTTTTTAGCAAGTCATTGCCTAAGTTTCTGTGATTAAGTCTACCATAGACTGAACACCCAAACTCGTAAGCCCAGATGCCTTTAGAAGAAGTCTGGAGCTTCTCAGCACCTCCTGTGTTCCTCCGTGGCCTCCTCCTCTCCGTCTCCCTCCACCAGTTCACAGCTGCTGCCTCAGCAACATCAGGCCCAGCTTTCTGAGCCTCAAACTCCCGAACATACAAGGCCACACTCACTATGTGTAAACCAATCTGGCTACAGAGTGAGCCCCGAGCTCCTGCCTCCTCCTGTTCTAATGCCGTCCACACCTGCTTCTCAGGTTGTCCTTCACAGAACACCCACTGTGTGCGAGCCCCATTGTTCTCAAGCCCGGAACCCACAGATGCAGCCCCTTCCTTGGAGCCTCACTTGTAGGACTGTTCCCAGGGCCATGTGCCCAGAGCCTCCGCCTTTGACCTCCTGGGCCTGACACTTCTGTACCTTTCTCCTCCCGCATCTCCAAAAGTATATACACAGCGTGAAAAAACACACAAGGTCCAAGTTCACTCAAGACTACAATACCTACAAGGCCAGCACAAAATTCTACAGAAACCAAAGTACTGCATATCTGGATTTTTAAGGGTATAAAAAACTATTTTTTTTAAGAAAGAAAAAAGGCCTCATTTTTTAAAAGGTATTATATTTTTCAGTGGTCATCTTTTCCAAGGACAGCTAGGCTCCTAGAATGCACAACTGACAAGGAATCTCCAACCTGACAGCTTCAGCTGACCTCCCACGTTGTCAACGTTTTTACTACCTCAGCTGAAGAAAGACACACTGAAGAAAGATTGCCCCCAGTGCAATCTTCTGTGGATGCAAATCCAGCACTGCAGAGCAACGCTAGCACAGAAACTCCTCCAGCTGGGAGGAGACACAGGGACCTTTCTCGGTAATAAAAGTGTTCTATTTCTCAATCTGGGTGGTAGCTTTACCTATTTCTCTCTAAAGATATAAACTGTACACTTAAGATCTGTACCCTTCACTGTAGGTAAACTAAATCTCCATGAAAGTAAAGAGACTCCCACCAATATCAGACATCATCATGGAAATGAACCCTTACTGAAATTAAAGGAAAAACGGACACATAGAACTTACCGAAATTCAAGAAAATCAGTTTGGCCTGTATTCCAGGACACAGTTTGATGAGAAATGGAATGGCAATGTACAACCCCAAAACACAGAGAAGTATCTTCCTCAGGCGCAACCACAGGCCCTTTCGCCTGCAAGAAAAAAGCAATGAATAGGTCAAAAGGCAGAGGTGCCATTTTGCTGTCGTCTGTTGAGAGTGCTATCAAAATCTCTAAACAAGCTCCACAAGTAGTTTTTTTTCACAAGGATACTTAATTAGCCTCCAGTTACAAAATTAGCCTCCCACCTGCCTTTGCTAAAGTAATTATCTTAGATAAGTCTTTTAATTTGAGCTTAGAACTCTACTGGGGGTAAGAGGAATTTCTTTTCTTAAAAGACAAAGAAATAGCTAATGATTTCTTCATTCGCCCTTGCAGAAGAATCCAGCAGAGAGCAGACCCCGCAAGTGCCCCCTACCTGACATCAGACCCCAGCTGTAACCTCATATCAGGAAAGAGCGGCCTTCTGGGGCCTCCTGGTCAGTCTTCAGTGAGACAACTGCAGGCAGGCAGAGGTTACTCAGTAGCTCCTAATAGGAAGCCCATAGAGCAAGGACATCAACAGAACCTGCCTGACCAGGTCCTCAGAGAGCAGGAGGCTCAGCACTGGCACGGTGTGTCCTTAGATTTATGCCTGGATGAGCCCCTCAGTATCCACTCAACAGAGGATCCTTCTCCAGGCCCCTCAAGCCAGGGCACCAGCCCAGGGTCTCATGACCCTCCTCCTCTAATTCTGCTCCAGCTCCAGAGTTCTTATTTTGTCCCCAGTTCCCTTTCAAAAATACCTTAACTCAGTGATTCTCAAACTCGTTGGTCTCAGGACTTCTCTATAAAATTGAGGACCCTATAGAGCTTCTGCTAAAAGAGCTGCTTCTTTAACTCATATGACAGACAGTCATAAACAGTTTATATTTATAATAATCTGTCATATGAGAAGTTAAAAATAAGACATTTTAAAATGTCTATTAATTCATCTAGTCATAAAAATCCATTACATGTTGTTATGAATAATATTTGTTATGAAAAATAATTTTCCAATACAAAAAACTTTTAATGGGAAGAAAAAAAATTAAACAGTTTTAGTGAGAAGAGTGGCATTAACATTTTTATAAATTTCTCTAAGCCAGAAAGCTTAACAGAAAGATGGAGTCTCCTATCTGCATTCAATCTGCTATGAATCCACATATCACTTATCAGCTGGAAAACCTCACCGCACACCCATGAGAGGAGGGTGAAAACAGGCAAATCACACCTTGGTGTTATTATGGAAATTAGTCTGACCTTACAGACCCTCTGCAAGGATCAGGAGTGCCAAGGGCACACCTGGAGGACCACTGCTCTAACTTACCAGAGGAGTCTAAACCTAGCGGAACCAGCTATCTCTGGATGATTTCCAAAAAAATATTTAAGGGTTTTTTGTTGTTGTTGTTTTGTTTTGAGACAAAGTCTTGCTGTGTTGCCAGGCTGGAGTGCAGTGGCGTGATCTCGGCTCACTGCAACCTCCACCTCCCTGGTTCAAGTGATTCTCCTGCCTCAGCCTCCCAGGTAGGTAGAACTACGAGCGTGGGCCACCACGCTCAGCTAATTTTTGTATTTTTAGTAGAGATGGGGTTTCACCACATTTGACCAGGATGGTCTCAAACTCTTGACCTCGTTATCCACCCGCCTTGGCCTCCTAAAGTGCTGGGTTTAAGATGTAAGCCATCGCGCCAGGCCTTAAGGTGGTTTTAAAACCATATATTGAACTGCTGATACAAGCAACAATACAGGTGAATCTCAAAAGGACTGTTATGTTAAATAAGACACCCACAAAAGACTGTATATTATATAATTCCATTTGTCTACAATTCTAGAAAATGTAAAAGTATAAGGACAGAAAAACAGAACAGAGAGAGGTTGCCAAGGGCTGGGGGTGGAGCAGGAGGTTGATCGCAAGGGCCAGGAGAGGATCTTGGAGTGACGGAACATTCTGCACCTTGATGAGGCTGTGGTTACATAATGGCATGCATTTGTCAAGACTCACTGAACTGTACGCTTAGAATCTATGAACTTTCCTATATATAAATAATCTCGCCGGGCGTGGTGACTTATGCCTGTAATCCCAGCACTTTGGGAGGCCGAGGCAGGGGGATCTCGAGCTCAGGAGCTTGAGACCAGCCTAACCAACATGGTGAAACCCCGTCTTCAACAATAAAAATAAATAAATAATCTCAATAAAACTGATGTAAATAACAAGTTAATAAAGCTGACATAAACACCTCAATAAAGCTGATGAATGACATGCACATCTGATAATGTAACTCATTCATTCATTCACCTGGTTCATTCAGGGATCATCATTGAGCGCCTGGCACTCTGAGGTGGTGGACAGTCAGGTTGGCAAAGGATGGCGCCCACACTTGCGCTGTGCTCACAGCCCAGTGGGCCATAGCACGCTGGATGACAGGTACCTGCTGCTGGCGATACTGCCCAGGGTGATCTGAGCTAGCGGGGCTACCCAGGACAAGGCCACTGGTCTGACACAGTAAGTTAGGAATACAAGAGTTAACTAGATGATGGGAAGAACAGTTTAAAATGGCATCTTAAATGTCATACATGATCTAGCTTTTCAATGAGGTATATTAATCACAATATTGAGATTCAAAGTGCCAGTTCTTAAGTCTGGTTCAACATCTAACCCATCACTTACTAGCTGTGCTATCTTGAGCAAGTTATTTAACCTCTCTGAGCCTTGTTTTCCTTAATCCTTGGTGGGGATGATAATGGTACCTCCTCTGTGGGGTTCCTGGAAGGATTACACACAATAACACATGTGGCCTGCACATGTGAGTCCTTGCACCAAATCTGCAATATATCTTAGCTTCCATGACCTACTCTTTATTCTCCTTAAAGAAAAGAGCAGGATCTGACACAGCTAATGGCCCTGGCAGGGAGAAACTGGGTATAATGTGAGAGGTTAGAAGAGTACCAGAAAGATTCAGGACATTATCCTGAGAGAAAATGAAAAGCCCATAAAAAGAAAAAAGCCTGAAATCAACTGTGCCACCACTCCAATGCCTGGCGCCTATGCTTGGATTGCTCTGGCACCTGCAGTTACTTCTGTCTCCCTCCCACGATCTGCTTACTCAGCCTGCAGCACCTGCACAGACCTCGTGCCTTACTGTAAGGTGTCAGGTGATTTGCAATTTTGTGCCTCGAGAAAGGAAAGCCTATGTCCACACAAAGACTTGTTCAAAAATGTTCACAGCTTCAGCCTGGGCAACAAGAGCAAAACTCCATCTCAAAAACAAACGAACAACAACAGCAAAAAAACCACAAACGTTCACAGCTTTACTCACAGCAGCGGTAAAGGGAAACAACCCAAATGGCCATCTGAGTGAATAGACAAACCACGGTATGCCCTCAGAATGGAATACAATGTGGCAACACAACGGAATAAACTATTGATACATGCAACCATGTAGATGAATCTCTTTTTTTTAATTTCTTTTTCTTTTCTTTTATTATTATTTTTTTTTTTTAGGAAACAAGATGAATCTCAAAATAATTATGCTGAGCAAGAGAAACCACGTGAAAGACGGCCAGGTCACTGACAGATGTTCACTGATATGATTTCACTAAAAGTGATGATCTCTATTCATCAGCAGAAACAACACAAACGCACCACATCTCAGTGCACTTCACTTCAGTGCACTTTGCAGATACCAAATGTTTTAACAAATTCAGGGTTTGTGGCAACTCTGCATTGAGCAGGTCTGTCCGTGCCATTTTTCCAACATTCCAACAGCATGTGACTTTGTATCTCTGGGTGAGCATTCTTTACCAGTAAGGTTTCTTTTTGTTGTTGTTTGTTCGTTTTGAGATGGGGTCTCGTTCTATCACCCAAACTGAAGTGCAGTGGTATAACTATAGCTCACTGTAGACTCAACCTCCCGAGTCCAAGCCGTCCTCCCACCTTGGCCTCCCTAGGTAGCTCGGACCACAAGCATGTGCCACCATACCCAGCCAGGCTTATTTTTTATTTTGTCGAGACAAGGTCTCCCTATGTTGCCCAGGCTGGTCTTGAACTCCTGGTCTCAAGTGATCCTACCACCTTGGCTCTCAAAGGGTTGGGGTTATGGGTATGAGCCACAACCTCCCAGACTCAAGTGATCCTCCCACCTCAGCCCCTGAGTAGCTGGGGCTGTTATAGGCACGTGCCACTATATCCAGCTATTTTTTAATTTTATGTAGAGACAGTGTCTCCCTATGTTGCCCAGGCCAGTCTTGAACTCCTGGGCTCAAGCAATCCACCCACCTCAGCCTCTCATGGTATTGGGATTATAAGTGTGAGCCACCACACCTGGTCTAAAGTATTTTTAAGTTAAGGTATGTACACTGGTTTTTAGACAAAACTCACAAAAGAAATAGATAATCTGAACATACCTGTTTGTTAAATAAACAGAATCACTAATTAACAACCTTTCAAAACAGAAGTCACTGGGCCCAGATGAGTTCACTGGGGAATTCTACCAAACATTTAAGGAAGAGATTATACCAGTTCTCTAGAATCTCTTCCAGAAGACAGAAGAGTTAAATCTCTTTTTAACTTATCCTATAAGGTCAGCATTACCCTAAAGCAGTCAAAGACATTACAAAAAAGAAGACTAAGATGAGCCTAGTGGTGTGTGCCTGTAATCATACCCATTCAGGAGGCTGAGGCAGGAGGACGGTTTCACCCCAGGAGTTCAAGGCCAGGCTGGGCAAGATCTCTAAAAACAGAAAGAGGCTGGGCATGGTGGCTCATGCCTATAATCCCAGCAGTTTGGGAGGCCGAGGCGGGTAGATGACCCAAGATCAGGAGTTGAAGACCACCTGGCCAACATGGCGAAACTCTGTCTCTACTAAAACTACAACAGTTAGCTGGGCATGGTGGCAGATGCCCATAATCCTAGCTACTTCGGAAGCTGAGGCAAGAGAATATTGAACCTGGGAGGTGGAGGTTGCAGTGGGCTGAGATCATGCCACTGGACTCCAGCCTGGGTGACAGAACAAGACTCCATCTCAAAAAAATAAAATAAAAATAAAGAAAGAAAACCAAAAACCAATACATA